CTTCCAGATGAGAAACCCACGGACACTCTCACCTGGGCTGGTCTCTCGTGTCAGAATCTACCGCTGTGGTTAGACAGGCCACTGCCAGGGTGAGGGAGCCCTCTTGTCACTCCTTTCCTGGAATTAGTCTGAGTCTGGCACACTGAGTCTCCCCATCACTCAGACATAACTCCGATTTATTCCTACTCCTGCTCTTAAAGGAAAGTGATTCTGAAGACTGAGTAGTCAACGATCCCATTTCTCTGCCTCCAAGGAGAATTTTCTTTCTCTTTAAAAACCTTTTCCCCGTTTTTATTGAATTTATTGGGGTGACACTGATTAACAAAAGTAGACAGGTTTCAGGTGCACAATTCTACAACACATATCTATACACCATACTGTGTTTACCTCCTCAAGTCAAGTTTCCATCCATCACCATTTATCCCCCCTATTCCTTCTTCCACCTTCCCCCACATCGCCCCCCCCCCCCCCGGCCAAATCACCATACTGTTGTCCCTGTCCATGAGTTTCTCTTTTTTTCTTTTTCGCTCAATCCCTCCACCCACCCCCTTCAGCCCTCCCACACACCTACACACAGTTGTCAGCCTGCTCTCTATGAGTCTGTCTCTATTTTGCTTGTTAGTTCATTTTGTTCATTAGATTCCAAGTATAAGTGAAATCATGTGATACTTGTCTTTCTCCGACTGGTTTATTTCACTTAACCCAATGCCTTCCAGATCCACCCATGCTGTCACAAAGGGTAAGATTTCCTTTTTTCTTTTTTAAAGGCTGAGTAGTATTTCATTGTGTAAATGTGCCACAGCTTTTTAAAAGAGTTCTTTTCAGTATTAAATGAAATCACACATGTGAAGCACATCGTACTGACTGCTCAGTGAGGGAGGCAGTTTTATCCCACCCAACGAGGTTTCACAGAGGATATACATTATTCCCACACCTAGTTGTGCCTAAGGTCCAAATGACCCACTTGGTTCATGATAATTGTCTACAGTGCCCACCATCTCCTTCTCCAGAGCCCTGGGTCCTTTGGGCTTCTAAGGTAAACTGAAAAGCAATCAGCATAGCCAAGCCCCTAACCTCACCTAGTCAGACTATACCTAATTATCTAAGGCTCCAGGCAGCAGCAAGAAAAAGCTCTGAGGTCAGAGAGCCAATGAGGAAGGTGAGGAGATGAGGCCATGAGGAGGAAATAGGATCTACTAGATAGAAGACATTACAGAGTCTTAATAGGGACCTATTTTTGCTTCTGAGACATGATGTCACTTGTGGTAAAGACCTTGAACTAATTATCAAAAGGGAGAGAAATATAATTTCTAGTACTTGGAAGCTATCCACCAGCCCATAGTTCTCTATGTATAATTCACACGATCCTAAATACAAAAGTCTTGTTGCCATTGGAGGCCTCCTAAAGATTCAGAAAGCCACACTCATTTTTAAAGCCTTTTCCTTTCTAGTTGCAGAAGACTCTGAGGTCCATGATATGGAGAACTGACATTTCATCTTTCAGATGTAAGTGCAGCATACTCAATTCTTAGAAATTCAGGTACCAGAGAGAAATGGGCAGATGAGAATCAAGTGTTGCTTATGGTTATTGAGGGTGACATGGTAGAGTACAGAAGAACATTAGGCGGAGCTGGGACAGCAGGCATGGACTAGAGACTTGGCTCTGCTAGAGGTGGGAGTGGGGAGGTGATAAGAGGGAGATACTTATCCTGGCCAGTGTGGCTCAATTGGTTGAGTGTTGTCCCATGCATCAAGATATCATTGGTTCAATTCCCAGTCAGGGCACATGCCTGGGTTGTGGGCTCCATCCCTAGTGGGGGACATGCAGGAGGCAGCTGAGCAATGTTTCTCTCTCCCTGTCCCCTCTCCCTTTCTCTCTCTCTAAACTCAATAAAAATATATTTTTTAAAAAAGAAGAAGGAGATGCTTCCAAGTCTGATCTGGCCCTAAGGGCCTGTGCAGCCTATCTACCATTCATAGAACTTGTTCAGAGTGTAGACACCAGAAGGTGGCAATTCCACCAGAGAAGATGAAGGATGAAGAGAGAGTATGGAAGAGGTTTCCTAGAGGAGATTTTGCAATACTTAGTTAGAAGCCATCACCTGGTGGAAAGCTTGGCAGAACAATGACTCCTGGAGTTGCACCTGTGCCCCCCAGGCACAACAGTATGCAGAGCAGTCCTGGGCTGGCTCACAGTGAAGAGCACTGGGCTTTGTTTTCCTAAAGGATGACTAAAACAGGGAAGGGGATGAATGAATTAATACATATGGAATTTATAAAGCCTCCCATTTAACACATGATCAGAGTGAGGTTGAGAGGATCAGAAACTCATCGTTGGAATTCAAGCTCCCGGGCTGAGCCATGGGTTTTGCTCCCCTTCCGCTGGCTCCTACTTGGAGAAGCCCTGACGCCGCGGCCACCATGACAGAGGGACGGTGGGAACTGGATGCAGTTTCGGCCCTGAATTTATTACCTGCTGCCAGTTTCCATCTGGAATTCAAAAATGAAAGGAACTAATCTGAGATTGAACTACCCCTTTCGGTCTGAAACGAAAGCATTCTCTTTCTCTTTTCTACAGGGCAAAAATAAAAACAAAATACATTTCACTTTCATGTCCAAAAAGATAAAAACATGTATTTCAGACAATCTTAGTAGCTAATTGTATCTCTGAAACAGCTGAGGGGAACCCATTTGGGAACTATTACATCTACTTTAAAATCAAGGAAAAGGAAATGATAGAAGCTCTTGGATTCATTGCCCCTTTAATAAGTGTATTTAACCCTCTAGCTTTAATTCTTCTTTACTAAAAACAGAAACCCAAACAGAAGCAATCTGCTGTTCTGGGGAAAACATCCAAGTGGAAATCAAGAGCCTTGGTTCTAGTCTCCGCACTTCCATTAAGTAGCCATTTCATACGATCAGCCACGGGGGCCAAAATTGCACCAGAATTAAATCCACCATTTCAAAACAAGGTGATTTCTAAAGTTCCTACTGGCTCTAAAATTCTAAGGGCCTATGCATCAATGAGTGACAAAAGTAATATAAAGATTACACCCAAACAAAACCTGTGTTCTTTCAGATTGGTGTTCCTTTGATTAATGGGATTTATATGAATGATGGATGGATCTACATAGCTAATCCTCTTACAGGTATTTGGACAATAGTGTGGTGATTGGAGGCGGGTGGTGGAAGAGGGTACTGGGAGGATAAATGGTGATGGGAAAATAAATAGTATTTGGAAGCTCAAAAAATTTCCAACTGAAATGATGGACCAACCTGTCAAATATAAGAACCCGTTTAGACCCCTTCAGTGCTCTTGAACAGCTGAGGAATTTGTTTTTAATGTGATACTGGCCTTCACAAACGGCTGGCTCTCAGTGAGCCCCGCCCAGTACTCACACCTTTCAGACACCCTCCCACACTGAGCCTGGACTGGCCCTGTCACTCGCTTTAACCAGTGACACTGGCAGTCCTGAGTGTAAGCCGAAAGAAGTCTTGGTTGCTTCCGTTACCGTTAGCGGCCCTCAGTCTCAGCACAGGACCGGCTGGCTGGCCACCCCTTTTGCACCAGCACCTGTCTGATGAGTTTGGATTTCGATGTGCAAGGCAGCCGATCGGGCATTTTCGGAAACACTTTTATTTGTGTGTGTCTGGGGAGCCCTGAGCTGCCATTGGTCTCAGTGTCCCACACTGAATATACCAGCGTTCAATCCAATGCAGGCCCAGATGCCTCGTTTCCAATGCCATCCTTTGTCCTTACTGAAATGTGTACGTACCAGAGAAAGATAAAAAGCCCTATTGTGGCCCTGGCCAGTGTTCTCAGTGGTTAGAGCACCGGCCCAGGCACCAAAGAGTTGTGGGTTTGATTCCCTGTGGAAGGCACATAAGCTGGATTACAGGCCCAATCCCCACTGGGGAATGTTCAGGAGGCAACCAATTGATGTGTGTCTATCACATTGATGTTTCTCTCTCCCTCCTTCTTCATTCCCTTCCTCTCTCTAAAAATCACTGGAAAAACTATCCTTGGGTGAGGATTAACAACAAAAAAGCCCTATTATGGGTTCTAGATGCCTTAAGAGGCTTCTTATCACCAATATTTTGATTTGTTCCTTTGTTTGGTATCCTGGAGACGCCTAATGGCTGAGAGACATGCTCTTCTTCTGCCAAGAGGGTACGGTACCAGAAACCGCAGGTGGAAGCCTCTACAGGTGAGCCCTCAGGGAAGGCAGTCTAAGGACAGTTCCCATGGAAGTTGGTTTCCTTAAGACTTCCATGTCTGAACACTTCCCGGGTCCTCCTGGTCAGGGTGTGTGTGCCTGTCTGTAGACAGCAGCCATCGGCATTCCCTTGGCCTTCCAACGCTCCTGGGTTCCTCCTCCTCGCACGCCAAGCTCCTCTGATTTCTCCACTTCTAGGTACTTCTTTCCCCTCAACCGTCCATCAGCTGACCCTGATACAGTGTTATTGACTGGTAAAAAATTAAAGACAAGACCCTTTTCAGGGAGTTTTTGCATCACAAATGAAACAAAGGAATGAAGATGCAGCAATTAATCTTTGAGGGGAAGTACCCCAGCCTGGCCATTTCTCAGCAGCCAAGACAGCTGTGATCACAAGGATGGCCATGCCCTCTTGCCTGAGGCAAGTCACGAGAACTCGACCACTGTCTCTAGCATCACCCACCTAAAAGGCAGACAGTGTTTCAAGAAGAGGCAACAGAAACTCTCTAGGGGAGAACTCGGGAATGGGCTCTGTGGTATGCTCATGCTTTCCAGCAAAAATCATCATTCTAATTTCTTCCAGAAAACAAGGAACACCATTCCAATTTCTTCCTTTGTAAAATGGGTTTAACCCTAGCTCGTTCAGAGTGTTTTCTGATTATGAAAGAAGCCTGTCTCGTTGCCAGTGGTTAGCCAACCCTCCTCCCATGTTCAACTTGTTATCTGGATTATGGATACTTATGTTTCTCAAGCCTCTAAGAGTTAAGAACAAGGTTGTCCAAGTCCTGAGAGATAAAAAATTTATTGATGTAGATCATATCAGCATGTTATGATATGGCCACAGCTGACTTCTTCTTATAGCCAAAAGAGGAATTTTTTTTCCTTTTAAAAATACATTTTTTTTCCCAGCAGGAAGAAACATTTTTAAAACAAACATTTTCATATTAAGTGGAAATTAAAAACAATGGCTTTTTGTTTTGTTTTTCCCCAACTCAGGAGGAATAGGGCTGGTCAGCAATAGATCTCCGAGTGCTTCAAATTAGTTTTCAGGCCTCTGCCCCGTTTATTCTTCCTCTTCCACCAGAACCCACGTTTGGGGGGTGTGACAGGCGGGGGTGGGGGGGGATTACAGTCTCACCAAATCAGCAGCCTAAACCCAGACAGGAAACAAGAGGTAGACTGAACTGTAACTATTTAACCCATTATTATGTAAAATATTTTAATACACTTAAAATTTTCAGTGGGCTCAAACATACTCTACAAATATCAGACCAAAAAATGTTTTAAATGCTTAAAACAAAATCTCAGAGATGTCTATTATCACAGTTCACTTTGAGAAATCAAAGCATACAACTTTAGAAATATGCAAGCTTTCCATGCACTTCAGGAAAAGTTGGCTTTTGGCAAATTCTTCAAACATCCAAAGCCCCTGTAGGACTGATGTTAATGCTTTCCTACCCTTAAAAGCCTCTGTCAGGGTCAGAGAGAGGAATTTCCTGAGAGCAGTGAGTAGATTAACTGTGAGACCTTCATTCAACACTAACAGTTCTTTGAACAAAAAAACATAAACCAGAATGTTTTTTTGGGCAGTGGTGTGCTGGAGACACCTCCCACTTGCTCAAGAAAGCCAACTGTTTTAGAATTTTGCCAGTAGTTGTTAAATGGCTGTTATTAAAATAAAATTATATAAGCTTCCCATTGGTGCTAAAGCTAAAAGTGGTTCACTTTAATGAGTATAACTTGTACAAGGCTAAGAAATAGTCTAACAGATCACATATCAGATTGAATGACAAATTTGAGAATTAAATGGATTAGGATGTAATTCCATTTTTCAAATCATGGTTGGATCACAGTCATAGGCTGGCCAAAGAGTTCAGGAAAAATCAATTAGAGCATCCTGGGAGAATCAATTGGCTATATGGAATTTACAGTAAAGTATATTTTATTATGATCTGTTAGTCATGTTATAAAATCCTTGCTATCAGCAAAATTTATAACTTATGTACACTTGTATACATAATTTTTTTTCCCCAGGAGAGTGAATGCTAACCATTGACCAGTGTACCACTGGATGGAAAGAATCGGGAAGGGGAGAGGGACATAGTTTAAAATGAGAGGAGAACAGTGTTTTTCAGTTTGCCCTCAGCATCCAACGGCCGTGGTGTGTTCTGAGTACACGTCTATAGATGTTAATGCCAAAATAGCTGCAGGAAAACACAAACACCCCATGCCCACTACTAAGAATTAAAAGCACTTCACTTGAAAAAAATCAACTTTATTTTTTCTAGGTTAAAAAAAATAGAACCAGCTATTAATTTTTGTTGAGAAAATGCTTCTTTTGGTATTCACATCTCAATTTCTGAAAAGGTAATCTGGTTACTAAAGTAATCCCAATGTATTCATAAACCAGATCCACGTGTGACCAGCCCTTTACAAAAATTACAGTTGCCATAGCCTTTACATTCATTCTTATCATACATTACAACATGCAGATACACAAAGAAAGACAGGTCACCAAGCTGAAGTAAACATTATGGCATCAAGAAAACGAAAATCCATCTGTATAAAATAAATACAACTTTGTGATAACTGAAAGAAAATGAAAGCACTTAACACAACAATGGCAGTTCGATGTCTGTTTCATTACCAATCATAAGTTACTGTAAAATGCATCTAGACTCCTTCGTGTAAAGAATTTGTGCACCACAGCCACGTTCAACAGTTTTACACAACAAAAATAAAGCCATTCAAAATGTGTGCATATTTTGCAACTAGAATACACTATTTTTTTTTGCTCTTTAAACTGTTTTAAAAAAATATTAAATGTAAAAACCCTCAAATGGAAATTTTGCAGAAAAACATGTATTTTATCTTCCATGTGGCCACAGTCACCCTCCCCCAACAGCTCAGCACTCTCAGCTCATTCCCAGGTCCAGCTCCTCCTTGTTGGGGATCAATGCAAAATGGTTGCAATAAAGCACCAATCAGAGAACACCCGGCCCCCTCGTGATCTAGAAATGTCCGATGTAGGTGGTTTTGGTCCCAATATATTAGTCTCTACCCCTTCAGACAACGAACCAGTATACCTGCTGCCCAGTGCGGCTTTTGACTTTGCCTTTCATGTTATCAGAAGCAAGGTTCACAGCACTACCTGGCAAAAAGTAAGACCAACCATTTGTATCCATCCTCTGTGGACCAGTGTTGGCACGCTCGTCTTGGTAACGCTGGAGTGAAGTTCTGTGCAGTGAAGAAAATAACTAACTCTTCCTATGCAGCAGTGCAAACAAAAATTTTCTTAATACAGAAAGAATCCAATTGGACTATCCATGATTAAAGACTACATCCTATCATTATAACCAGGTCCCACTAGGTCAGAAGAGTCTTCAGAGAAGTGATTGTCAAAAAATGTTACTAAGACAAATCCACACGAAGTGAGGAACATGAGCAAAGACTGAAGAGGCATTCTTAACATTGATCCAAACGATATGAAAGCTAGAATGATGTTCTGAGGTTTACATTTGGTGATTTAACATTTCATTTTCATAAAAATGCTTGAGAACAACCGCAATACCGCCAACGCTTGATCATTAGAAATTCCTTTTCTAGACCATGGGTTATTCAGGCTTCTATGTTTTCTCTTCCTGAAGCTGTCTTTCCAAATCTTTCCACTACTCATCAACACAGTCAAATGCATAGGCAGGAGACGCTAATAAACAACTCACATCATTTTTTAAAATTAGTAAGCATCCAGCAAGGGAAAAAAAGTTTTATGAGAATGAAAATTCAAACTCCTAAATGCAATCAAATTTTTGGCTTACCATGACTTATTACTGGAATAATTATGCATAATCTCCAGTTCCTTTACTATGGAAAATTAAGGACTGTGTGTAATATTAAAATATTACACTCACAGCTATTTTTTTAAATCTATTTAGATTCTCAATTAACTTGTATGACTATCCAAGACATCATTTCCATTCTGTAATTTTTCCTTACCTTCCACTGGCCTACAGGCTTCTCTACAATAACTGCATATTTAAACACCAACAGTAGTTTCTGACGTTAAGTGTGAACTTCTGGGGTGGTCACTTCTGTGGTCGCTACAGCTCCCTGAGGCCAAGCAGGTGCTCCATCACCGTGACTCTGGGATCCAGCAGAGAGTCTGCAACCCTGTCTGCTGTGGGAATCAGGCAGGACAGCCGAGACCAAGCAGTGCTGAGGTTCTATAAGCTACCGGTATAAAACTGGCACAGTGTTACTGCTTTTCCCCGGACAAAGTGGATATTCGCTAAACCTCCTTTCACTCACTTTACAAAGGAGGTACAGATTAGGGATTTTCACTCAGTTCTGTATAGTGGCATATTGCTGCTTCCCTGATTGCCATATAAGAACACTGATTCGCTCTTTACATTCCCCTGTGCAAACAAGAGAACCTCAGTTACTGATAAGGAAAGCACCAGCAATGCTCTCAAACAGCATGTTTGCTAACAGAAGCGAGGGAACGTGTTGAGAAAGAAACAGGGTTGGGGGGGGGGGGATGGGGCAGATCAAACACACACCTATTTACAACTCACAGATCTATGTTCAAAATTAACCCACACATCTAGAGGCTGTTGAAATGACTGTGCTTGGAAAGCAAAGCATCTTACAGAACAGTCTGTTTAATGTGTACAGTATATTAAACTAAACAACATCCTCCTCCTTTGGAGCTGTGATGGCAAAAGACACCACATCTGTGTGTGCACACGCCTGCATCTCTTCTTCCCTGATGGGAGACTGGCCGCTCTGCCTGTGGCTTGCTTTAGCAACGACGAAAAGGTCAAATAGGTAGGACTGTCTGCCATCCTTGCCAATGAACTTGTCCCCCAGATGGCTGACCAATCTCTCAAATGAATCATCCCAATTCACCTTGTAATCTGATAGCATTTGCTGGGCCTCAAACAGAAGTGCCCCTAAGCTTCCATGTGGCTTCCTATCTGTATCCGTACCTCTAAATTGAGATTAGTTTCACCTACTCACTGTCACTGTAAAGCACACAATGAAATGCTAAAATTTTGTAAAAGTGGCACCTTAGGACAACCATTCCTAAACCACACACGGGAACACTGCCTTCTGCGTCTCACCAGCAGTAGTATCATCAATGAGGTATTTCAGCTCAGGCATCATTCTCTTCACACATGCACACATTAACCTAAGATGAAGCCGCTGTGGGCTTGTATTTGGTGCTGCTTTACCTTTCCCACACAACTGGGAGAAAATTCTTATCTTCTCAGTGTTTTGGTTTTCTGGTTTTTTGTTGTTGTTGTTGTTTTTGGTTTATTTAAAAACAAAAAACATCATGCTTTACCTTTACCTTCCGGCCTTTCTCAGAACTGTCAAATTGTATGATTAGCGACAACAGGGGAATCTACGATGTCATGTCACAGAAAACCACCACTGATTCACCAGAATCTCAGTCTCACAGCCCCAGGCCAGCGGGCGTTCCCGCCTTGATGCTGGGGTGCAGGCGGTGACCACGGTGACCGATGCAGGGCCAGCACTTTGTGAGAAGTTTGGTTTTACTGTGAGGTAAACTGTATGAACATAGTGACAAAAGAAAAAAAAAAGTCTTCTAGAAATAGGCATGACTTTATCCTCTTCAACAGGAAGAGACTGGGAAGCCTCATGTGCTGGTCTCTCTCCTGGTCACACCACCCTGACATGGGCAGCTCTTTGATGAGACAGGTGCTGGGGGTGCCATGTGACAGCCTGTCCCCATTTTAAGCCAGTGTCTGGCTTTAGCTTTTATTTTTCTAACAAATTAGCCTATTTCACCGTATATTGATCATTTAAGTGTTTTGCATTAATTTGTTTCAACCATCCCCAAATGCAGTTGGTGCTAATACACCAAAATTAAAACAAACAAACAAACAAGAAAACAGCTGGAGCCCCCCCAGGTGTGGTGCCCAGCTCAGGGAGGTGCTGGAGGGCAGGAGCGCAGGTAAAACACGCAGACAAGACAGCCGCGCGAGTCCCACTCACTGACTATGTGTAGACTGGTTTCCAGGCTATACTACTAATCCTCTGCTACAGATGCAGCTGATGAAAGTGCATTTTGTAAAAGAAAATGATCAATCTACGATATGCTTTCTATATAAAAGGAGAAATCAAGTGCCCTCCCCCCAACACACACACACACACACACACACACACACACACACACGCACACGCAAGCGGAAAGCACTAGTGCATGTAAACACGGTGTCGGGCCGAGCCTGCCTTTTGAAAGAGCCCATTCCAGGACCGGACGTGTCCAGTGGACACTGATTCCCCCCACAGCATGCCTGACTCTGGACTCACTAAGCTGGTGAGGACTGGAGCATCGCTGCAAAGGACAGGGCAACAGTTCTTCAGAAGGTGCCAACCAGCCCCCCTGGAGGTTCCTAGTGACACAGCAGGAGTGGGCAGTGAGGGCGCTCACAGCACTGCCCTAAGGGACACTACTAGCTAGGAGGATGAGCTCAGCTCTGAGCTTGAACTAGGTGATCAAGTATCTGCTGGCAACAGAATTTCTCTGTCTTCTAGGATGATCTTATGATTTCCTCTTCTCCAAATGTGATGTTAGTTTAAATGTGTGGTAGAGTGTATCTTTTTAAAACATGAAAAGTCCTTAAAACATATTAGCAGGTCATTAGATTACTGATCCTCATTTTAGCAGAGTTTTAAAATATCCCAAAGCGGGATAAATATTAATCCATCCATGGAATTTCCTTTGCTTGTTTTATATTCTGATTTGCACATGTGAAATAACGCACTCATGAAAGTTGGAATTCCTATGGTGACCTTGACAAGTCCAAGTCAGTTCCTAAAACAGGCAATGGTAAAAATACTGGAAGATGTTGTACCACATGTAGCCTGACAAAAATGCAAAAGACTGGATGAGAAAGATCCACATATTGCTGAGGGTCATCTCCCTGGAAACAGCTTCCCTGTGGCCCTGGGCAGGTGGAAAAGCCCCTGAAAAACAAGATGGAAACATCACTTTGTTTTACTGCAGCAGTAGGTCTCCTGGAGTACAAGTTGAGTATTAGTTTTAACTAGAATTTTTTTTTAATGCATTTTCTGTGACTTCCCATTGCTCTTGAAGAGAGATCGCATTTGAAATACAATTTTCAACCTGCCTGAGCCTCTGCCTCTATTCTCTCTGCCTGGGGTGCTCCTCCTCCATCTCAGTGAATGGCTGGGGCATCTGCATTCCTCCAGTATCAGAAAAAATACCGCCTCTCCCTGTCCCCCACGCCTACCCCCCCTCCCGTCACCGTCACCTCCACGTTTATTTCCTTCTTGGCACTTTTCGCAATCTGTACTATCCCCACCTATGTCTTCTTTTCCTATAGACTGTCTCCTGTGGGAGAATAAGCTGCATGAGAGCAGCACCCCACGGCCTTGTTTCCCACTTTATCCCTAGAGATCTCTACAGTGGCCAGGACACAAGATGTGTGAAGTCGATATAGAATACTTTCTGAAAGAGCATGAACTTACATTCATTCTTCTATTTACAAGTTAAATGTCTTTGCCACAAAAAAGTGGTTGTTCTTTCAAGTATCCAATAGGGGAAAAAAAAAAGTAGTTGTAAATCATTGATATTTTCAAAAGGCAATACGGTTTATGAAATATATCTTAATAATAAAAAGAATCATTTAAGTGTTTTGCATTAATTAATTCAATTATTAATTGTTATATAATTAATTAATACACAAAGTTAACAGGTTTCTGGAAAGGAAAGCTAGACCATTTCAGGGCAATATTATCTAAGGTCATCTTGGTAACACTCTTCAACATTTCAAATAGTCTTTGTCCTTGTGGATAATCCCCAGCTAAGCTGGTTCATGAGGGGATTTGCTTCTCACAAGCAATATACAGAGAGCACTTTTAAGTTTTCAGGCAGCAGTTCTCAACCTGTGGGTCGCGACCCCTTTCGCGGTCAAACGACCCTTTCGCAGGGGTCGCCTATCCTGCATATCAGATATTTACATTACGATTCATAACAGTAGCAACATTACAGTCATGAAGTAGCAACGAAAATAATTTTATGGTTGGGTCACAACATGAGGAACTGTATTTAAAGAGCCAGAAGGTTGAGAACCACTGTTTTACGGTCTATTATGCAAATAGCTTTAGACCTTCCATTATTAAAGAGGCTTCCATTATTGTACAATTTAGGGCAAATATCATAAAGCAAGAGACAGATTGAAAAAAAGAGAGAGCTTGTTGGCTTCTTAAGTGCCTCATGCCTTCTTTTTTTTTTTTTTTTTTTAAATATATTTTATTGATTTTTTACAGAGAGGAAGGGAGAGAGATAGAGAGTTAGAAACATTGATGAGAAAGAAACATCGATCAGCCACCTCCTGCACATCTCCCACTGGGGATATGCCCGCAACCCAGGTACATGCCCTTGACCGGAATCGAACCTGGGACCTTTCAGTCCACAGGCCGACGCTCTATCCACTGAGCCAAACCGGTTTCGGCATCATGCCTTCTTATACATCTATCCTGTCTTATTTTTAAGTTAAGTGTGAAAGTGAGACCAAGGATTGCACACGTGGAGAGGGGCATCTTATTAGGAATGCTAAAGACATACACAGTGCCCAACTCCTGGCACATTAATAGGCACTACTCCACAGCCCCAGAATCAGAAAGTTAAGATCAGGAAGGAATCCTCTGGAGGGCAAAGTGAAACAGTCCTAAACCCCACACCAAAAGTACTAAAGGTAATCACTGTACCAGCCTTTGCTCAACAGCAGGCCTTGACAGTCTGATTCAGCATGAACTTTAATTCTGTACCAAAAAATGTCTAAGTGGGGAAAAAATAATGCCTTCTGTTCATCGAATATCCCATAGTCATTCTCAAACCTGGAACAACTTTCACTTCATCTTCCCCGCCCCAGGGTAGCCTCTAGAACAGAGGTGAGGAATGTCCAGTCTGTTCTAGAGGCTACCATGTAGGGGCTCGGGAAATCATTTCACCTGGCCCTGCCAAGGCATTTGGGGTGAGTTAATTAAATGTTTGACCAAATACAGCAGGCTAATTTTTTAAGTTGATAACTTTGTATGGCCTCCGAATGATGTTATAAATATCCAAATGGCCCTTGGCAGAACAAAAGTTCCCCACCCCTGCTCTAGAAAATAAGCCTACAAATAGCTATTTGTGAAACCACCTGGGTAGTGCCTGGAGTTCTACCAACATCAATTTCCTCCTTTCAAAACTTCCTTTCTTCCTTCCTCTCTCCTCCTCCCCTGTTATGTCTTTTTCACTGCACTGTAGTTTTCATAAAACATAAAAAATATTAAATATAGAAAAGAGACTGAGGGTAAATAGACTTTTTTCTCCCAAGGAGAAAAGTAAAAGGTTGTATCCATGAAAACTAAATAGTGAACTTTATCCCTATATGTTAAAAAAATAAAGCATACTAAAAGTGTTTACAGATGATGATGGTATTATTTAAACAATCAAATCACAATGCCAAAAATGAAGGTCATTTGCTATTTTATAAAACAGTCCATATAATTGCATATGTATGACCACAAGTTTCTATATACTGTGTACTCTCTTGAATTAGACCCATTTGTACATGGCTAATGAACAAGCGCCCAAATACATTTAATGTAAGTTTGTCTTTATGAAAATTCTAAGATGAAATTCTTAAGTATAGAATACTCTGATTCCTTTAGGATATCTGAAGAATTTAAAAAAAAATGCTTATCTTGAACTACCAGTAACTTCAGGAAGGTATGTAATAGGATACTGTGTACCTGTTTCATAAAAATGCGATAAGAGTTCCTCTTTTTCAATAAAACGCTGATAAAGCCAATCCGAAAGTTCATCAGTCTCCAGGGGTACATCCTTAATTGGAAAGATCCTAGTTAAGAAAAAAAGAGCAAAAACTACTTTAATTCAGAAGTCAAAATCATTCAGAACTGCAGTTTAGCTCTAGTAACTGAGAAGCTGAAGAAAGGTATGGAATCCTCTTTTGCAAGGGTAGGTTTCTACAGCTTCTCAAGTTATTTTGATTTTTTTTTAAATGTTGATTATATAATCGAGTTCATTTATTCATTCATTCAAACATTCACTAGCCTATTATTATATGTTAGGCCTAGTGCTCAATGGTAGAAACATATTATTAGATTATCCTCCATCTACAAATAATTACTGAGAAAAAACTGTCCTCCCTTGTTCGTGTGTTAAGTCGGAATGGTGTTTAGAAAAGATGAAATTTTAAAAGGCAACTCCTTTAGGACACTAGAGTAGTCGAATGCTAGGCCACATAATGCAGCTTTGCCATGTTCTTTTACTGGGAATGTCTGAACTAGACAGAATACCCCTAAATTGGTGCCATTTTGCTAATTATGTCAGAGATAGTGGTTTCATGAGCAAAGCCCACTCTTGGCTAGAGCATGATTCTGAAGATGCTGCAACCCTGTCCTGACTCACCACCAAGTAGACTGGGATAATTACTGATACATGTCCCCTGGAGGTGAGAACTGAGAGCCATAGCATGAGGAAGTGCTATGTATTTGCTGACCTTGGGAAGGAAAGAGTTTCTTTTCTTCTTTGTTTTCCAAATTTGGGGGGGGGGGGGCTTTAATTTTTTTCCTTTATCAAAGCTATTAAGAAACAGTTAAAAAAATCTACAAAATGAATGTTTGTATGAAAAAACAGCAGACCCTGTCCCTCTGCCCTTCGTTTCTCCCTTCCGAGAAGAATCAAATTTTACCTCTTTTGGTCAATTATCTTGATATCTATCACCACATTTCGTCTTTAGTTTGGGGGCTTATCTACTGACTCACTATGGAAGGTGAGGATTAAGCTCCTTCTTCTTCCTACTCCCATTACACATGCACATCCTTCTCATCTTCCTAATGCAGTTTGTACAGTAATTTTAATTAGCACAATATTAGACATTGGCATTTTTATAATCATGTAAATATATACAAAGTTAGGCCATGTAGTAAATCATGGCTATTTTTTCTCTCCTGATCTATTTTTGTTCTCCCTGAATTGAGCAGTTACAGTTTTGTAAGTACACATAACTGATTCAGCCAGAAGCTCTTGGCCAACTGTCTAGAATCAATTCTCTAGATCAAGTCTGCAAACTTTTTCTTAAAGGGTCAGATAAAAAATACAGGGTGTCCCCCAAAAATGTACACACACTTTAACAGCTGATAGCTCAATTTTGAAAATGAAATGTATTTTAATAAATACTGACTTTATAATTATTCAAGGTGTGTGCATACATTTTGGGGGGACACCCTATTATTTACACTTTGCAGACCATGTGGTCTCTGTTGCAACATTTCAACTCTGCTTGCAGTGCGAAATCAGCCTTAGACAATGTGTAAATAAAAGGGTGCCATTGTGCTCAAATAAAATTTTACTTAAAAAACAGGCAGAGCCAGATTGGCCTGCGGTCTAGAGGTTCTCCCAAGGCATACACGTGCATCAGACATCCTTTCAATTTCACCTCCCTGAAGGATTTTACCCAGACTCTGGATTGGCTGCCTGTAGTTTTCATCTTGCGAAGGCCCTTCACTGTCGTTCTGGTGGATGTGGCGGTCCTCTGCACTCCTAAAATGGAGTTAACGTTTCTGACACCGATGTCTCCCTCTGCCTGTATTTCCTTCACATTTTTAGGGAGCACATTCTCCAGCAGTTTCTTGACAAAGGGAACTTAAAGCCTTGCATTTCTGTTAATGTCTTCTTTCTGTCCACACACCTTGTTGATAATTGAACTAGATATAGGATTCAGGGTTGGAGTTCATTTTCTTCCATCTCTTGTCTTTCGTCCTCTTGGGAGATTTCTTATTTAATATCTAAACTTCTTATTGGGTTTTTACTCATTTTATCATATTTTTAATTTCTAAGAGTTCTTTGAGTGTTCCTCTTTATAGTATACTATTATTGTTTTATTGTTGCAATATCATACCTCTATGAGAATCTTAACTCTATGAGAATTACTATGGTAACTTGTACTATGGTATAATATGCACAAAAGTAGAGAAAAAGGTTAATGAACTCTCGTGTACTATGTGGATTTTTGGAAGCTGTTCTTTCCCTGAGTCTAAAGCCTACCCAAATCTCTGGAAGACCCCTGAAATATGTACATGTGAGGTGAAGTCCAAGCAGAATAAAACCTCACAAATTTTAGTTCCAGCACAGGGAAGGTGTCCAGAGTTACAGAGAAAATTTAACTACTCAGGAAATTTAGTCATTTGTTTTATTTTCTTCAGACTAAATGTCCTTAAATATTTATATTTTTAGAAAAATCTGAGAAATGTTTTAAAATTAAAAATCAGATTTATTTTTTTAAGTAAATGGAATTACAAATTACTTTTTAAGTTTTGCAATATAAGTAGCACTTTTTAAACTATTCACCTCTACCACACTGAGTACCAGCATTTGGGGAATTATTTGTATTAATATTTTGACCTATAAAATATATTCTATTTCTGTAAATGTAAAATCAGGCCTTCTCAACCTAAGGATAATTTATAAAGAGCCACAGGGCTAAAGAATGAATATCTTTATTCTGAAACAGTATTTTTTTTAAAATATATTTTATTGATTTTTTTACAGAGAGGAAGGGAAAGGGATAGAGAGCTAGAAACATCGATGAGAGAGAAACATTGATCAGCTGCCTCCTGCACACCCGCTACTGGGGATGTGCCCGCAACCCAGGTACATGCCCTTGACTGGAATCGAACCTGGGACCCTTCAGTCCACAGGCTGACACTCTATCCACTGAGCCAAACCGGTCAGGGCTTGAAACAGTATTTAAAACATCTTTATAAGTAGAAAAATGACATGAAAAGTAAGGCTGAATTAAACAGAGGAAGTCTGGGTTTACCAAAGTGAACTCTCCTGAAAGAACATGGTGAGGTTGGTGAAGTATCTATCACTTTAAATGGGGGAGAGTGTGGGAGTAGGGCTATGTTTTAAAAGAAATCCTACCCTACCATCTGCCTAGAATAGCTTGGACATTCTCTTACCTTAGGAAATAATAGGAGGGCAGACGAAATGCTTCCTCCAAAGCCATCTACTGATTGTTTGGGCACCATGGGATTACAATATTAAAAGGATTAATCATCCCCTAATAGGACAAAGTATCAAATGCACTGGATACCAGTCCTCTTAGAATTAAATAAACAAATAAGTAAAAAAACAGAAATAAATCTTTACAATACCAATAGCTAGCCAAATGAGAAACTAGCTCCTAAATTTCAAGAAATAAAAATTCTCATTATCTGTAATCCAGAATGAACTCTTAAATACATAGTATTCTACCAATATCCATAGAATCAGATTTCAGAACACTAGTAAATTACACTTCCACAAAAAGATAGGAAATAATGCTTAGCAGCTGGCACCTCTATAAATTCGAGTAAGAACATTTCATGCCACAAAGCTCCAAAATGTGAGCTAACAAACAACATGGTTTAAACCCCTCAATTCAATTCTGCCAACTGCATGTAAGGAGCTAAAAAGCACTGAAGGTTTTAAGGTAAAGTGTTCCTACTTTCAAAAGCATAATAATCTAGCAGCAGGATATGAAAAGTAAACAAATAACATACAACTGGAATATGGTAAGTGTAGTATAAGAAGTTGGAAGAATTTCTGTGTAAGTTTAAATGAAGGGGTGTGTGTGTGTCTGTTTCTTCCATCAGGCCCTGCTGTACTCCTCTTTGCATACCCCATGTGTAATCGAGACACGTGAAAAACACATCACTTGAAATGGCCTAAGAGTTAATAGAACTTAACACTAAATTTTTTTTTTTAACCTGGTAACAATATGCATGTAGTTTTCAAAAGTCATAGTACCATAAGGTTCAAAATGAAAAATAGTAGCCCTGTTTTCCCTCCTCAAATACCTGTCTCCCAGAAACCCTTTTTTTTTTTTTTGCTATCACCTCCATATTGCTTACACAGAAACATGCCAATTCCACTATTCTGGATCATCCCATTTAAAATGGACTCGTTGACTTCTTCCTGAGGAAGACAAGGATGAGGCTGTTTCACTCCTTTGTCCTCTTCTCCTCGCCCCGCCCCCCCCCTTCCTTCATACAGTTAATAATTCCTTCTTGGTGCCAACTCTGTCCTTTGCAATTATGCTTACTCGTGTGTGTTCTATTTCTTTTCTTATGTGTCTTCCATCGGGCCCCGCTATACTCATCTTTGCATACCCAATGTGTAAATCAGTGTCTGTTCCTTCGTGGGAACTCGAGTTTGATGAACTGAATTGAAAGTAATCTGCCAGCGTAAACCTTTATGAGATGCCATCTGTAGTCAGACATCAAAACCATGGGCACTGTTAACTGACACCATCAGGGTTAGTGTGACAAGAATAACTCAGAAACGCAGAAACTACTTGCCAACAAATAGATTTGCAGACAAGAACAGATACTGTCCACTTTAACATGCGAGAACTTCTCCCAGTATTCAATTCCCAGAAATTTTGCTTTGAGCCATTGTCCTGAAATAAGCTGTTCAGGCCTCTTCCTCAACATACTAACATATAATATTTATAGCTACACCCTGGATTCATAGAAAGGTTTTTTAGAAATCTCCAACTCATCCCAACCGGTTTGGCTCAGCGGATAGAGCATCAGCCTGCAGACAGACCACATGTTAGGGCACAAAGCGACTAGAACATTTTCTAGGAGAGACCATGGAAAAACTGGACTAGACCACCAACTTACACCATATACAAGAATAAACTCAAAACGGATAAAAGACTTAAATGTAAATCGAAAAAAAACCCACAAAAATCCTAGAAGGAAACATAGGCAGTAAAATCTCAGTCATCTCTCAGAGCAATATCTCTGCCAATATGTCTTCTAGGGTGAGGGAAACAAAGGAAAAAAT